TTACTCTTTATGATATTAGCTATCCAATTATATTATTAAATTAATTTTATATATATATATATCACACACTAAAGTCTATTTACTTGAGAGAATCATTTTATTGGAACAACTTACTTATTCTAGAGAGAGAGACTCTGACCACTCTTTGCAGTCATCACTAACCAACCAAACCCCTATAGCTATGTAAACATCACTACTCTCGACTAAGGATCTGACGCTCTCAATACCACCGGAACTACCAGGTTCCCCTTCTTTGAATCCCCAAAAAGATGGATGAAGATCTCCCATTCAAACACTCTTTCAAAGAGATATTGTTAGAAAAGAACCTATGCTCTGTCAATTCATATGAATCAGAGTACCTTTTGACTCAGCCGCAATTTGAGCTGAATGCAGGGAATATACCTATTCCACTCTCCGGTGAAGATAAAAGCATGCTATACCATCCATAGAGATTCTCCCTCATCATAAAATTATGTGGTAATAAGATATGCCACCAAATGCTCAGAGCAAAGCTCACGAAATTATGGAAACCAGGTGAACCCCTTATACTCATCGATTTTGCTGGGATTGTTTCGTTACAAAATTCAGCCTACAGAAAAGTATGAACAAGATCCTACATAAAGGGCCATGGTTTGTATCCGGGTACTTCCATCCGTTAGACGATGGGACAAAATTTTGTCCCCACCTGAATCGAAAGTTTCAATCACATCGATATGGATCAGACTGCCCCAGTTGCCAACAAATTCTATGATAAATCTGTCCCACAACAAGTGGGAGGAAAGAGTAGGAAAACTACTAAAAATTGACATTTGTACTTCATAAATATTGCCGGGTCGTTATGCTCGAATGTATGTTCAAGTACCAGTAGAAATACCAGTGAGCTTATCTGTAATCATAGGTACACACACCCAAACCATTGTCTATGAAGGGGAAGAATTTTCGTGTAAGGGATGTGGGAGATTAGTCATACCATGAGGAATTTTGAATACCTAGTAAAACGCACCCCCTCATAGGAGCAAGTCCAGCACATTAACAACTATACAAGAATAGAGGGAGATTCAAAATAGCACACAGTCTCATTCCCAAGAAGAAAGAGAAACCAACACAGAGGTGGTCGCAATCGGGAAAATTCTCTGGCTAAAATGATAGACAACAACATTGTGCATGTAAAAATATATACTATGCCTCCATGGTAAGTTTTTTGATATGCAAAATTTTAAATATATGGGCAAATTCTACAATGCCCCGAACATGCATGATCAAAGGGGCCAATTGGGCTCCAAGAAAGGATCATTTGGAAATTGGAAAGCAATGGACACCATGATTAGCACCACATACTCCAAATCCAAAGGCCAAAAGTCATCTTCAAATAGATCACCCACAAAAGATGCTGAATTGGAAAATCCATATTATTATCAAAGCCAACAAAAAGATACCACTTTTAGAATGGAAAGGAAGAAGGGATCTTTACTTAAAAATTATTCTGCTCTACCCAAATCTAGTATTTTCCACACAAAAAAAAGTCTTCCAATTTTGGAAAAAGGGACCCTAACAGTTAAAGTCCAATCACAAGTGGTCCCTTTCTCTCATAAGGAGCACAAACACAACTACACACCACCCTCCAACCTTGTATCCTATGGTGACTTCTTCAATAACAAGACACATATTAGAGGTAATCAAGTACCTGCAAACAAATCATTTCCTCTCACACATCAATGAAGTAACATTACTTGTCAATCCACAAAGATCGAGCCCTAAAACCAAATCCCACAACATGGAACCCAACGAAGTGAAAATGGATTATAACTCTGGATCAGAGGGATTTTTTCCAAAAAAAAAACTATAATCGAAGACGGAGTTCCCAACAACTCTCCAAATACCAAAACCCAAACAACTAGCAATAAGACACCACATTCTATCGATAATCTAAACGCCACTCCCAACGGAGCATGCTCCGGCATCGTGGCTAAAAATGGCACTACAAGGCCACTCCCAATCATTTCAACTGATAATAGGGACAGTCCTAGTTTCCATCCAAGTCCAAAACCTCCTCTACTGGCCCAACTAGCAACCCACCTTTAAACCAGGGATTGGCCAACTTCAGCCACCAACTGTGGTAATCAACACTGTTACGCGCCCAATATTCTAGCACACAACAACCCATCTTAATAGAGGATATCAACAAGCTCATAGGTCAACTCTGCATACCATGCCATTCTTTCCCATGATGACTCTGGAGTCAGTCCTCCCATCCCTCTCATTCACCCTGTGGCAGTGGAACTACTACAAGCCTTGTCATCACCACCGCCTCCAACCCCGATGTCACCTCTACTGCATTTGAACAAAGGGACCAACCAGACGTTGGACTTCCTCAAGGAGTCAAACCTAGATTTAGAAAATCTTCTAGTACAATTAGGGTTCCCAAAGACAAGAGTAATACTCATACTAGAGTATCAGGAGATAGAGTTCAAAGAGCAGTTCGGAGAAATGTTTATTGCTCTCTGTCCTAGAAAACTTCAAAGCTGCAAACTAGATCTCTACATGCCCTCATTTCTAAGCTCAGGGAACTCAATAGCCGTGCTAAACCCAATTGTGGGTCTAGTGAAACCACTTTAGGGAAGGGAATCAAGAGAAAAGCCCCACCAAATAACAAACTCTTGATGAATTTCATAATATAGAAGCAAGGGGAGCGAATAATGTTAAGTATCGCAGGCGTTGTGCCTCTATGGTCAAACTGCACACCCCAGCAATGCTTGTTATGCTTGAAACAAGGATGGATAACCATAAGCACCTCACAGCTAAGCTCTAATTCTCAGCTCAATTCCAATCCTCAGCCCAAGGTCAGTCTGGTGGTATAGTTGTCATATGGAAGGATGATCTGGTGAAGCGGGAAGAGGTTTTTACCACACCTTTGGGGGTGCATTTCATGATTAAGGTAATCTCCTCTCCCTCCAATTGGCTTTTACCTGCTATTTATGCTAGTAATAACTAAGATGATAGGATTAGACTATGGGATTACTTAGTTGATATTGCTTCTATTTTCAAGGATAGTTGGCTGGTAGCTGGTGATTTCAATGAGATCCTAAAATCTAGGGATATATTTGGGGATGAAAGAATTAATTGTAATAGGATTAAATTTCTGGAATTGCTTAAATCAGTGTAAGCTTGTAGACTTAGGATTCATAGGCTCCAAATATACCTGGACCAATAGGAGGTACTCTAGAAGGCAAGATCTAATTCTAGAAAGGCTAGATAGATGTTTTGGTACTGGTAATTGTATTGGGTTGTTCCTTGAGACAGTTGTCCCTCATCTCCCACGCATCATATTAGGGAAAACCATAAAACTAGGACTTGGAAATTGTATTATTGATGGCTGAAAAGTTTGCATCAAAGCTTCTTGATGGGTGGTCTAGAAAGGTAATAAGGACAGCTTCATTTCTGATACCTGGATTCCAAACATGTTACCTCTCAACTCCATACTCCAAGGTGCTTAGCAAGAGCCTGAGGAATCCATCAAAATTAACACCATGTTCAATAATGGAGACTGGGATTTCAGTGGTATCTCTTATCCACTCCCTGAATCCATAATCAAAACACATTCATCGCTCCCTACACTTCTATTGAGGATAGAATCATTTGGAACCTCACCAGTAATGGTATTTTCACTGCAAAATCAACCTACACCGTTTTTTACTCCAATTGGGAGCCAACTGGGAGAGAGGAGGACCATTTTGGTTGGATATGGAAGCTCAAAGTTCCCAACAAAATGAACCTTTTTACAAGACTCTTCTATCACAATAGGCTTCCTATTGGCCAGTACCTCCACCACATTGGCCTGAACATTAATCTTAACTTTTCTTATGTGTAGTGGCTAAAGAAGCTATTCAACATATCTTCTTTGAATGTCCTAATGCTAAACTCTTATGATAGAATCTGTCAAATGTTTATACCAACTAGGCATGCATTCTTTTTCTCTCCTTCTCCCAGTACTCCTGAATCTACACCTAGAATAAGTTAAAAAAACATAGAGTTCAATAACAATATCTCATGGAAGAATCTTTTCTCTTTCTGTTTTTGGAATATTTGGCTAATTGAAAACAATAATTTGTTTGATAAGAAGAAGAATCCAATTTCTGCGAACCAAGCCTAATAAAGTTGTAGAATACCGCCATGTGGCAAGACACCATGGGATAAGTGTTGAATCAATCATTATTCACTTGAAGTGAGAACCCCCAGAAGCAGGGCTTTTTTAAACTTAATATAAATGGTGCTTCAACAACTAATCCAGGAATAGAAGGGATAGGTGGAGTCTTTAGAAATAATAGAGGGGACTGGGTAGTGGGTCACATGAAAGGCATTCCTCACGCTACCAATACAATGGCAAAACTTTTTACACTAATGCATAGCTTAAAGATTGCCCTCCTACAAAGAATGATCCCTTTAGAAATTATTAGTGATTTATAGAAGTAATAAGGATGATCATAGAGGGCCACCTTCCTTATAACTCTATTGTTGTGAATGTAGATTATTGATGGAGCAGCTGGGAAATCCAACAATAAAGCATACTTATAGGGAGCAGAACCAAGTAGCGAACCTCTTTGGCAAGGAAGGAGCTAAAAAGCAGCTTTTTGAATGACTTAAAGTTTTGGTAGTTCCTCCGGTGTTTGCAAATGATGCACTGTGTGCAAACATCTCGGAACTATATTTACTAGAAAAATCAGAACTTGTAACAGTAAGTCTTTTGACAATTACCCCATATTAAAAGAGTACAATCTCTCATACTACATTGTAATTATACGTAGTTTGTTTTATATATAGAGAGAGAGAGATGACTACTCAGTTTGACCAAACAAAATCAATTTACTTACCCATTTAAAGAAAAGATATTTATATTTGTATTGTTAAATTTATTTTAAGATAAAAAGAATCTAAATATGTAATTACACATATGCAACCAAACAAAATATAGACTTATATTGTGCAACCAAACATAACACATAGACTTACATAATAATTACATTATGACAAATGAATAAATGTATTACGAGTTATCCTTCCAAACATGCTCTTAAAGTGAAGACCAAAAGTTTCACCATCAGCACACAACTCAGCTAACACTATGACGATTCACGATCAAACTGCAACTACTAATGACCAAGGTCCATGAGACAAGCATCCAAACGAAGCAAACATACACACCACACCAAGTCAAATGCACCCCAGTTAAGCGGGATTTTAAGCTCTTGATCATCAACTTTGAACGATCTGTCACATCTTCATGTAGTGCAGCAGATACAAAGCATTCAATCATCTCGAACTTGGTCCTTCTAGCCATTATTTCCAATGATTAAAGCCACTCTTTGAGAGGAGACATGTCGCCGGTTTATCATCCAATACTCCCTATATTGTATGAGAAAGATCATTTTGTACCTAGCGCGTCCTAGATCCACTTTCCTCAAAAGCTAAAACTTGAATGCAACAACCACTACAGATCGTAAGAACCCATATATCATATCAATATCCGTACAACTATGTTCAAGAAATTCTAAAACCCCTTTTTTTTAAATTGTAAAAGTCGGAACATGAAATATGTATCTGAGTAGTATTATATTACCTATACTTACGAACACAAAAAGTTTAACTCTACTTGTCTCAACATCTGACTCTTTAAATTTATTTCAACTCCCAAATTAATAAAATATTATTCAACAAAATGATACTTGCATAATCTCCAAAATATTAAAGAAAATCATAAACATAAACTATTTATTTGCTGAGGCACGGTCAAAAAGCTAATAGCTCAACATTGAGATAGTAAAGGTCGCAATGGTAGTTATGCAATTGTAGGAGTGTTGTAATGCCTCACGTGTATACGGTCAGTGGTTGTGAGTAGCACTGACAGCTGTGCCATGGAGGTTGGATTGAACTAGCCATTAGTAATGGAATCATATAAGATCACATTAACATGAACTTTTGAAGTGATCGATGTCTTAATAATTTCAAAACTTTGTATAACATTTATGAACGGAATATTTATAGTGATCAATGCTTAGTAATTTCAAAACACTGTACATCAGTTATGAACCGGACCAGTTCAGAAAAATGATTATAAAAGAAAAACATGCACTTAAGTGTGCTGAAATCTGAACAATCTAGAGTCAAACAGCCATATGAGGAACCAAACGATGCCTTAATAACACCAGTGAATTCTGAACTCTTATAGCATCAACATGGACGCAATGGATTTGGATACATACATCTACTACTAAATAGTACTTGGCATCCATACAACCTAGATGATGTGCAACTATCATAAAATATACATCTACGCAATTTGTAATTTATTTTCATCGGAAGCTAGTTATTATAGTAATAATGTATCATTGGCAATCCATGGAGTTTGAATCTTCCTGTGGTCAAAAGGACACTGATATCAGGTAATCAATTTTGAGTCAAATTTAAAATGGATCAACGAAAGGGAACCTAAATTTTGAACATCTCTTTAATTTATAGTCAACTACATCACGTGACCAAGGATAGATGGATCTCATATATTTCCTATAATCATACCTGCAATGAACCAGAAACCTATAAGAAAAGGCAAGTATTATTTCAACTCCATATCATGGCAAAAACATCTCTACAGCTTAGATAACATATCCTGGGACCGCCAAATTTTCATGAAGGAACCAACCAAAATCCTAACTTCATACCATAAGCTGTGTTCCGAGTATTCCCTTTTCTTTAAATATTATTATTATTAAGTCAAACTAACCACTACAATGTTTAATCCTTCGGCATGAGATTAAGTAGCTCTACTCTATCATCTAAAATGCTCCGCCACAATAGTGAACAAGGGTAAAAACTAGATACCGCAGTGGAAACTGGTTGGACAGTGGGGAAGTTACACTCAAAGAAAGAGCAGCTAATGGCTAATTGACATGCTTGCTACTCTTACAGTATCACAGATTAGAATAAACACATCATACCAGTAGCTATAAGCCCTAGCACCAGCAGCCTCTGAAAAGCAACATACTACATAGCAAAAGCTCAAAAATGCCTTGTGACATTTAGACTGCCGCACCGAGTGGATTTTTTGTGAAGCAAGCATCAATTTTAGTTGCTTCAAATTATGCCATAAATATGCCTGTTTACAGCCAAGTTTGCCGGTGAATTTCCAGCTATACACAATCAATCTATGTTATAACGTTGATGAGACACAACCAATCAAGATTTCTCTTAAAATATCATGTTCCTATTGAAAACACAAATGCTGCACGCAAAGGGGCACTTGTTGAATTCACAACTAATGGGATTATGTTTGTACCAAAAAGAATCTAAACACTTATTAAGCAACGACCAACATTCAAACAATGATGCCTACACTAGTCATAATAGGATAATCACCGAATCATAATTTTTATTTTTTTTTATTTTAAAAAGAATCTACAAACCTCAGAGAGGGTGGACACTGAGAAATGTCAGCTTCCACATAGAAGCTCCCACATGCACACTGCATGAGACAAAAACACTAAGGCACCCTTGAGTGTAGCAGCTAATACCTAAACTCCAAAATAGAGCACAGCTAAAAATACTTCCAAATAATTACTCAACTACAAGAGAATTTAATAAACAGATGTCTAAGAATGTTAAAGGAGGCTAAAGAAAAGAATATGATCCAGCAGATTACCAATTCAACCAACAAAACACTATATATGCTGATAAACAAGTTTTATACATCAAGCATATCCTTACCACCGAAAAAGTTGCAGGTAAACTGTTCTGCTGAAGAGTCAACCTTTTATCTCTTCTGCCTCGCCCAAAAAAGACAAGTTGAATGGAAAAGATCTATTGTAGAAATTTCAATCAGAAGAAAATTAACTTCAAAATGTAGCCCCAGAGAGAAAGATAAAGTTTTGAAATAATAAGAAACTATTTCCCACATTTGCGACAACGGATTAACCAGTGAAACAGTAGAGCAGTGCTTTAACTTGCAAAGAAGAAATAAACAGAGAACCTAGTAGAAAAGAGGTTATGAAAAGAGGAACATAAACAAGGGAGGCTCCAAATAGAGTCCCACTTTATAGCCTGTTTGGCCAAGCTTCTCCAAGCCAAAAGCACTTTTTTTTTTCCAAAGTTGAAGTGTTTGGCCAAGCTTTTAGAGGGGAAAAAAGTGCTTTTGAGTAGAAGCAGAAAAAAATAGCTTCTCTCCAAAAGCACTTATTTGAAAAGCACTTTTGAGAAAAATACACTTAGAAGCAGTTTTAAAAACATGGCCAAACACTAATTGCTGCTCATAAGTGCTTTTCAAATAAGTTTTCCAAACACAAAGTACTTCTCACCAAAAGTACTTTTGAAAAAAGCACTTTTGAGAAAAAGCACTTTTCAAAATAAGCTGACTTTTGCAGCTTGGCCAACCAGGCTATTACTAAATTTCATACTATTGCTACTAACTTCTGTTCGAATCACCAAAGGGTAACATTTCGTGGGCAAACATAGTCACATTGTTATTATTTCTTTAGGACTAAACTACATGTCACATCAACAGTCTCAGGAAAGGAGAGAGCGAAATAAGCAACCTAGATTGACGATTAAGCTTGCGCAATAGGCAGACCAGCTTAAAAGACCAAGGCAGGAATTACAAGATGGATGGATTAAGAAACATGAAAACCAGGATGTGTCCCCGAGACATGAAAGAACATAACAAAATAAAAAACTGCTCGGAAGTGCTAAAAGAGATAACACAAAAAAAAAACTCTGTAAAATAAATAAATAAATAGGTGCTATGTGTCACGACCAATAAGAAAAGCTTCTCCCTACCACAACTCACATTTTACGGGAATAAGCATGTATTCAAGAACAAGCTTTAACTATCTACTTAAAACTGATTCCCTCATAACAAAATTTCATTTTCATGTCATCTAAACTTGGTGGATTTTAGTCTAGAGCATAAACGTGTCTTTTCATAGTTTTTCTGGTTGGCCACTAAATCATCATTAGAACATTGTGAGTTGGTGACAAAACTTAGACACCACATTATCCTAATCACCTAAACAAAAATGATCCAGGACAACATTTACCCACTCTTGAGTCTTGAACTACAACTACCCCTTGGTCAAAGCTCAAAATTGAAGTATAAACTTAAAACAAAGATAACTATGGTGGAGTCCAATTCTTAACTTACCGTAATCTTTTATCTAAATAGGTAAACTAGATAACTCAATTTCTAAGAAAATATTAACTCAGAAGAACATCAAAGTCTACAACCATAACATCAGAAAAGAGGAAGAAACTGCATAAAAATCGTCCATACAAGCCTCCTCCTCTCAATCAAGAAAAAGAGCAATCCGATGTCGACAGTCTGTTAACCGACGGCCACCAGCTGTAACTTTACACGATATAATACAGTTGTACCAATCTACCAATCTAATGGATGCTACAGCACAGTAATTTAACAGCTTAGACATAGACCTGTCATATATGGAACAGACTCCATACAACATGCACACAAGACAGTGCTTACTGAACTTCAATGTTAAGACCAGGAAAACATCTTCAAGCAATGAAAGAATGCCTTACCAACTGGTACGCCTCAATTATAAGCTAGCTGGGATCGGCTATTAGGACCGTCATATGATTTCATTCCATTTAAACCCGTTTCATTCCAGTGTTCAATAATTTAGACTCTAGCCACTAGAAGTACATGTTCTAAAAACTAAGATGGTAAATTGTAAACAAGGGAGTTCCTACTTTTATCTTGCTGCTTTGATCAGTGGAGGTATATTTTTATCTCCGGTTGCTAAGTGCACAATACATCCATGGATCACATCTTCTGTCTTTGTGTATCTGCTTTTGTTTGTTTGGATAAGTGTGTGCATCGCTGCTTTATGTAGTCACTGCAACCCAAGGTGGCATAAGAACCCCTCTTAGGCGTAGTGGATATTCAGCTCACCAAAAAAGTAAACTGGATTTCCAATCTATGCCCAGCAAACTGCACTATCAGGGCCAAAACTGACCTCCACAAACTTTTTTTTCCTTCTTATTTTTCCAAAAATCCATCATCTAATAGATTGTAATGTTTTGGCTAGGAAGCATATAGCAGGACTACTTCTATACCATTCTTTGTGGAGAAGTGTTCTTCTATGGTATGATTTCAAGGTTATGATTTACGGATCAGTCTTCACTATCCCATATCCAAAGAAGTACCACAACTAGTTATTATTTCTTTCCCGGAGCATGAAGGAGCATTAGAAGATAAAGGTAATTCTAGAGCATACATTTTATAAAAACTCTCATATGTACTGAACAGCTGAACCTAATGCATAGCAACGTTTAATTCGCAGGAAATATTTCCCTAAACTAGATTGCACAAGTAAGAAAGTGCATTAACATAGCTACAAATCCACTAGGACTAAGTTGACATAAATCGTCCTGATATGGGGAAAGTAAAATTTCAAAACCATAGGCAAAACAACTTAACTGCCACAGAAACTTCCAATCCAAAACCATCTCCAACAACAGGGCAGCAACCTGAAATGACAAAGCTAGGATAAAAACCCCCCAGAAAAGGAAGAAAGACACTGTAATTAGCACCTACATTGCAATGCAAACGCCCGATTGAGAGCTTAGTAACAACCATCAACCACTGCCTTCTACTTCCTGTTTACCATCCCAGGCTCATGCTTTTCTACCACGGCCCTCGAACACTGCCTTTCTAGGCTTGCCTTTCTCTTCAACTGCAGCACGATCACTAAAAGTCCTACAAAATGGTAGCAGATGGAATAACAATCTACGCGGTGGAATTTGCCGGTTACAAAATATACAGAACACTCACTTCTGTTTTTTTCGGTTTTGCTCCTTGATAGTCCTGACCATATCCATAGCCATATCCTGGTGCTCTCTTGTCTGTGAATGCATATCTAGGCCCTCAACAGTTTCACAATCAACCTTGCAAATGCGGCACCAGCCCATGCTCACGGGCTTCCTCTTTCTTGGTCTATCAAAGGAATCCATATCACCCTGAGAAGTTGTAGTTAAAAAAATTAATAAAACACTACTCATTTCATGCACATAATGACCATCACAAGATTGCAAGGCTATAAAGCTCAATTTTCAAGAAATAATACACTACTGGAAGGAAAAGAACAAGAAAATAACAGGATTCATAATGTAACACTTACCGCATAAAGTCCATCGTTTGGAAATCCTGGGACAGGATACCTGCTCCTAAATCCAGGCTCCCCAAACCGTGGTATACCAGGTGTGTAGCGTCCAACTGGTTCACCAAAACCAGGAAAATCACCAGGCCCTGACAACTCCCCCCTATAAGCACGGCCAGCAAAGGTACCAAAGCCAGCAGGTTCAGCAAAACGTAAATGACTTGGTAATTTCTGAGGATCCAAAGGCTCAAGATGATGCAAATGATTCGGAGCGTCTTTTCCAAACATATCACCACTATGGACATGGTTGTAAGGACGAATAAAGGTAGTATGCTCGGTACCTCTCAAGTCCCCATGACCATCAACCTCGAGCCCATGTGAGTGGCCAGGCAAAGGTTGGAACCTACCATCAGAGAATAAACCACCAGCTACATTGGAAGGAAAATTTAAAGGTTTAGGCCCTTCAATAAATTGGCGGGGCTCTCTGCCACCAATATCTTCAAAACCTGAGTGACTTCGAAATCTGCGCGGTGGAATGTTAAAGACCTCCCCATCAGGATTTCGGGCAGACAAATAACCCATATGATGCACACCAAACCCAGGTCCTGCCCTTTTTCTATCATCATCATGAGGACCAAGTGGTGCTTCTCTTTCTCCACTGTCCTTGAAATGCATCGAACCAGGAGGATGATATGGTGGCAATAATCTGTTAGGTGGAACCCCAGCACTGACCTCCAATTTTGATCCAGAATCATATACTAATCCGCGAGGTGGCTTGTCAAGTGGCCGTGATGCTGCATCAACAAGTTCATTATTTAATGTAATCATTTAGGAAACTGATTATTTTTCTTCCGATAAATATAAATGATTATGGAAATTGTTGAATATCAAATTCCAACTCACCTTGATCATGAGGCACTGGTAAAGGACTTAAATGCTCTCCCACAGGCGCCTTCAACCTTTTATTCCTAGCTGATTCCATACTTCTAGATTGGCCAAATGGAACCTTTTCAAAAGACCCTGGCGGAAACAGGTTTGGTTGATTTCCATCAAAACGATTACTTTGATTTTGAAACATTTCAGATTCTGCTGGATTAACCGAGTGTTGTGTTCCACTGGGAATTTCAGGACCACTTAATGGTGCTCTTCCCATTCCCGTTATCCCCTCTCGGTAATCACCTGCTGGAGGAAAATGACCAGGCCCTCTACCAAAGAGTGTTGTAGATCCTGGACCAGGTATAGCACCAACGGAGGCATTACTAGGCTGCTTCAGGAATTGTGGATGATGATCACGAGAATTCAATGGCTGACAAGACTGGGGCACATCCCCGGAAGGCATCATTGCAGTGGAATATCTGGGAACTTGGGCATGAGGAGCACAGCCTGGAGGTGGCATTGGTGGTATTATCATAGGACCAAAAGGCCTTTGTTGAGAAGATGGTCCAGAGTTTGGTGGTGGCATCTCATGCCCATACCGCTGAAAACCCCCTCTGTCAATGGCAACGTCATGTGAATTTCTTCCAGGGTTCAGATTCTTAATTGAACCATCAGCAGCATCAGATGATGCATGGTTTGCCAAACACTTGTCCAGTTCTTTTGGAGCATCATCATAGGCATCTTTCTCTGCTTTAACTGTTACATCAGCTGATTTGTTAGCAGATCTAGGCTCCAAAGAATTCTCATTCCCCTCTTCCTTAACAGTTCTTTTGTCCATAAGCTCGTCCGAATCACCCTTATGAGCATGTATATCACTGCTGGCCCTCTGTCTATACTCATCAGCAGTTTTCTTAAGCTTCTGTTGTTCATCGTTTAAGTCAGCTTCAAATCTTGGGGCCATTGCATCAGTTGATTTGGCTGCAGAGGAAATTAGATCATTTTGAGCATTATCCTGGAAAGGAACTCCCACTTCTGGCCTTCCGGTTTTGTCAGGTAACTGATCACCATGGCTTTCTAGGGCTGAACGTTTCTTCTGATCCATAGACTCAAGCTCATTGCTCATGTTGTTCCCATAACTTGGATTCAGTTGTGGTTGGCTTAAAGCGGGCTGGACAGATCTGACCTGGGGTGCAGTATTATACCCACCATGGGCCTGAGAAATTCCCTGGACATGATTTTGCATCCCAGGTCTTCCTATATATGTTTGAGATTGTTGAAGCTGTGGGGGAGGTGGTAAGGAAACATTTTGCTGTGGTTGGATATAAGTGTGTGTACTCTGAGGCACCACATTAGGAAGACCTTGCGGGCGAAACTGAGACTGCAAAGGCTGCTGGTGAGTAAGATGACCCTGTTGGTGTGACTGACTCTGCAATGGACCAGGAAATGCCTGCTGTTGACTGTATTGCTGAGACATTGGTTGTTGATTAGGCTGAACAGGATGTTGCTGAATTAAATGCCCTGCTTGCGGAGCAGGATAAAGTTGAGACTGTGCAGGAGTTTGACCTTGAGAAGGTACCAAGCCCCATTGCTGATTGGTGCGCAAAGGAGGTTGTTGAGGAACCTGACTATGAGTTTGAACTGGAGGAATAGGCCCACTAGTAGGATGTGGACGTATTGGAGTTTGCTGTGTAAACCCTATAGGCATTTGCTGCATGGGCTGGGGTTGTGGATAGGAATTGTACCCTGAAACAGCATTGACTGTTGAATGGAGGGTCTGAGTCTGTCCATGAGCAGCTTGGCCAGCCTGAGGGGGGCGCAATTGGCCATGAGATTGTTGATGATGTTGAACACTTATCTGCGGTTGAAGTTGTGAATGAGGTTGCGGTTGGGCTTGAGAAGACTGGGGAGGGTGAACCTGGGCAGGATGCTGCTGATACTGTGGCACCTGCACATGGTGTTGTGAATGAGATTGCATCGGATAGGGCTGAGGATATGGCGGAGGCTGAGTAGGTGGCTGAGCATGAGAAGCTGGAAATATTTGTGATGGAATTTGGGTATGAGACTGCCCAGTTGGTGGAAGCTGCTGCTGTGGGTTGACTTGAACCTGGTTTTGATGTTGCTGAGCCACAGCTTGAACCTGTGGTTGAGTTGGCCCTTTAGGTAGAGCTTGCATTTGAGGGTGAGGTTGAGGATTCAATGGTTGCGGCTGGGGCTGGGATTGAGGCTGTCCTGGGATTGGGGTCTGGGGTTGTGCTGGTGGCTGCATGTAAATTGGAGGTTGTTGCTGATATTGTTGGACGGGTTGTTGCTGATATTGTTGGACGGGTTGTTGCTGATAGGGATAGTATTGTTGATAAGTTTGCTGTTGATAAGGATCATATCCAGCATATTGCTGAAAATACTGTTGATATTGTTGCTGATACCACTGATCTGAAGTAGGCACACCAGCTGAAGCTGTAGCAGGAGCCTGAGAGCTGGCACTTGTCTGCTGATTACGATCTTGTCCATTAAGCAGGGAAGCAGTAGTGCTTTGAGGATTTGGTGTTTGAGAAGCTGGAGTTCCTGAATGAGTTGTAGTTTGATTCGAGTCATCACCAGCAGCAGTGGCAGCTGCTCCAGAGCTAGGATTATCTTGGGCACCATTAGCTGCCTGTTGTGCAGGATATACACCCTGGATAGAAGATATACTAAGAAATCATTCCTTATAGGAAAAGATGAGTACTACACATGCATGAAAAGCACTCACAGGACAACTCTGAGCATGTTCATGCACTTGTCGATGCACAATCTGGACTCCACATCTATTGCATATAACTGGAGAATTCCCAAAGGAACAGCCAGAACAATGGGAAGTGCATTCAGACAAGGGACCTTCCCATGTGCATCCACTTCTGTGATAGAGACAACGCACTTTAACTTTGCCTATGCTTTCAGCAAGCGTCTTGTCTGACTCGATAAGGGGCTGCAAGAAAAAGTAAAATGCAACACATTTGAAATACCACGAGTAGCAAAACCATCAGCAATTATCTAAAAGTACAATGTACAGGGAGCCCACTTTAGAGTCTGCTTCAGTCACCAAGTATCCATCATAGGGACAGGCCCGGCTTCCATTGGCAACATGGGCCAGACAAGGTTTGCAGTAGAGATGAGTGCACTGTGATTGGAGGGCTTCATTAGGGAAGACAAGAGTGCGACAAACAGGACAGAAATACTCCCCAGGATAGGTATGGATGTCAACTATGCATTCAATATCAAAACCCATATCAAATCAGGAGTACAAAGTCAGTTCCCACAACGCATCCAATGTATTTATGGTTGCCTCCTCTGGTAGATGAAAGTTGCTCCCTAGGTGCAAACTCCAAGCTCGTCAAATAACTACACAATTAAAAACATGTCAATGAATGAAACACATATTCAGATAATAAATGAAGGCAAGAAAATTAACAAGTCAAAGCTCAAAACTTAAAAAGCCACAGATCCACCAGCAATTAACTCCCATGCATTACCACTTGTATATGCTGAATGTATATAACAGAAAGGATGCATATATATATACACACACACGCGCACACACACACACACAAACAAGCACAGGCAAAGAAAATACCAGTGATGCCAATTCCGTAAACCCTGAGAGCTTGGCCTTAATCTAACTTCATTCTTAATCTATCCTACTACAAGAAATTACAAGCCTCGACTCTTTTGAATTGGAAAAAATGCACACAGTAACAGAAACACAAAAGTTAACAAATAGACAATCATTTTCTGCAAGGAAAAAATGAGTTTAATAGAGTTTAGATAGAAGGTATCATAACCTAATCAAATTTCATACCTTAAAAAAAACTTTACTATCAGGAGCATGATTAGACGGATTTCAATCCTAAGAAGTATTCACAGATCAAAAATCACTAAACAATAAAAAGGACAAAAACACCCCTCACGAACATTCACCGGATATGAAATGCAAATCCCAAAAAATCACTCCGATACACATAAATAAACACATATCTATATATAATTAAAAGACGGAAGGGAGATTGCACGCCTTGTGTAGGTCAAAATGAATGCCCAAACTCCAAACCAGTGCCTGAAAATCCTAGGGTTTATCTCAATCAATCAAGCCAATAAAGTGCAGCAAGTGAATTGGAGAGAAAATGAGCGTGTGCGGTGTGGCTAATGAGGGAAGAGGAGCAGCAGCAGACTGAATATCAAAATGGCTCAACCTAGCGAAGCGGTGATTTTTTTATATATATATAAATTATAATATAAGGAAAAAATAGGCGTCCCCGTTTCCGTTCTATGTGAACAGACAAATAACGGCGTTAGGGGTGGGTTTAACCCTAAATCATAACGCCACCTTAGGCCTCGCAGATATTTATATTATTCAAGTCTGAAGGTACGCGCATGTAAGCTAATATTAATGGGTTCAAAATTCTAAAACACTAGCAAAAGATGTATAATCTTATACTCACTCTATTCCAGTTTACGTAGACCTTTTTTTTTTTGGTCCGTTCCAAAAAAAATGAACCATTTCTAAATTTGGAAGTAATTTAGCTTAAACTTACAATTCTTCCCTTAATGATAAGCTTTTATAACCACACAAATACTTTGGGCCCCTTTTTGACTTGTTTAGGACCACAAATTTTAAAGGTCTTCACTTTTACTTAAACTTCGTGCCCAGTCAAAAAGGTTCATATAAATTGATACCGAGGAAGTAGTATATTTTAGAGATATAAGCATATGTAAAGTATAAAAATAGAAAAGGTTAATGGTGGTACCTTTTACCAAATCATATCGTGTATTACATAGGTTCCTTAGCACTGGATTGTTGCCTCCAACCCTCGTGCTAAGAGGAGTAACTTTATGTACCGAAAAAAAAAAAGTTCCTTGGCGCTACTACGGAAATTTTTTATGGTGCTACCAATTTTGGTGTTGTCTCTATTGCTACTGTTCCAGCTGCCCTTCCAGATATTCATGGTGTTGCAAATACGTTATTGCATCCACAACTTTGGCAGACACTAATGTCCAAACACAGGTATGTGAACAGACATGGTTACATATCCAATGCTAATATTAAAACCTTCAAGAAAAATGCACCTCAATGCAATAGTAGAGTTGGGATAAATGACAATCTCGCTAAGTCAAAATTAAATTTGACTAATGCGGATAATATAATTGTTGCGGTCATTTCCCAAATAAATTATGTGGCTAGTGTGAGAGATTGTGTGATAGACTCTGGTGCTACTAGGCACATTTGTGCAAACAAAAATAAATTTTTGTCTTACATCCAAGTTGAGGAAGGAGAAGAAACTATTTATCTTAGTGACTCAAGAACAACTCGTGTTCTTGGGAAAGGAAAAATTCTTCTCAAACTCACATCTGGTAAGACTCTAGCATTGAGTGATGTATTGTATGTTCCTAATATCCAAACCAATTTGGTTTCTATGGGGTTATTAGGAAAAGTTGGAGTGAAGGTTTCATTTTAAAATAATGAGGTCGTATTGACCAAAAATGATATTTTTGTGGGCAATGGATATTGTAACTATGGTTTATTTGTGCTTTATATTTCTGATACTAGCAATAAAAATAGAACATTGAAAGAAATGATGAACTCTATGTTAGTTAATTCAAATGCTCCTGATAATCTGTGGGGTGAAGCTATTCTATCTGCATGTCACTTACAAAACAGAATACCACATAGAAGAACAGGCAAAACTCCTTATGAATTGTGGAAGGGTTATAAACCTAATTTAAATTTTTTAAAAGTGTGGGGGTGCCTTGCTAAAGTTCTTTTGCCTGAATTTAAAAAGAGAAAAATAGGTTCTAAAACTGCTGATTGCATGCTAATTGGATATGCAGAACATAGTGTTGCATATAGATTTCTTGTTTTAAAAAGTGATGTGCTTGATTGCAATACTATAATTGAGACAAAGAATGCTGAATTCTTTGAACATATTTTTTCACTATCTGATAAAATTTCTCATACACCTGTTAAAGTAAATAGTGAAATTACCTCTAATGAGGAATTGAGAAGGAGTAAAAGGCCTAGGAAAGAATATTTTTCATATGGAAATGACTTTCAAACTTTTATTGTCGATAATAAACCATCAAATTATTTTGAAGCTATATCTTCTTCAGATGCTAAACATTGGAAAGAGGCAATAAAAGTTGAAATTGATTCTATTATGAAAAATAATACATGGATTTTAACTGACTTACCACCTGGTGCAAAACTTGTTGGTTGTAAATGGATTTTCATAAAGAAATTTAATCCAGATGGATCTTTAGATAAATATAAAGCTCGGTTAGTAGCAAAAGAATTTTCTCAAAAATAAAATATAGATTATTTTGATACATTTGCACCTGTGACTAGAATTTCTTCTATTCGAGTATTAATTGCCTTAGCTTCAATCCGTAAGCTTTTTATCCACCAAATGGATGTCAAAACTGTTTTTTTGAATGGTGATTTAGAAGAAGAAATTTTTATGGTTCAACCTGAAGGCTGTGTTATTCCTGGACAAGAAAATAAAGTTTGTAAATTAATTAAATCTCTTTATGGCCTTAAACAAGCTCCTAAGCAGTGGTATGAGAAATTTGAACAAGTCTTACTAAAAGACGAGTTTTCTTCAGTTGAGGTGGATAAATGTGTTTATACTAAAGTTGTAGACAATGATTATGTGATAATATGTCTATATGTTGATGACATGCTTATATTTGGTACAAACTTAAATATTGTGCAAAGTACAAAATTATTTTTGTCAGCTAATTTTGATATGAAAGATCTGGGTGAAGTAAATACAATATTGGGAGTTAAAGTTATAAGAAGTGAAGATGGAATAATGTTGTCACAACAACATTATGTTGAGAGACTTCTTAAGAAGTTTGAATATTTTAATGTCACATCTGTGAGCACTCCTTTTGATGCTAACTCTAAGTTGAAAAAGAATAATGGTGACCCAGTTGCTCAGTCTAAATATGCTCAGATTATTGGGAGTTTGATGCATTTAATGAATTTTACAAGGCCTGATATAGCCTATGCTGTGTGTAGACTGAGTAGATATACTTATAATCCCAACAGAGAGCATTGGTCTGCATTAGATAGACTAATGAAATATTTGAGAGGAACCATGAATTATGGTATCCTATATAGTGAATTTCCTTCTACTTTAGAAGGGTACAGTGATGCAAACTGGATCTCTGATTCAAATGAGACAAAATCTACTAGTGGTTATGTATTCACCTTTGGTGGAGGTGCAATATCGCAGAAATCAGCTAAACAGACGATCATTGCTAGATCAACTATGGAATCAGAGTTTGTAGCTCTGGAGTTAGCTGGCTCTGAGGCTGAGTGGCTAAGAAACTTCTTATCTAATATCCCTTTAACAAAGGACGTATTGCCTCATGTGACTATGCATTGTGATTGTCAAGTGGCAATAGCTATTGCAAAGAATAAATCTTATAATTGTAAAAGTAGACACATGAAATTGAGACATGATGTCATAAAACAGCTGTTGAGAGATGGAATAATCTCCATTGACTATGTGAAGTCAGAGATAAATTTGGCCGATCCTCTTACTAAACCCGTGGAAAGAGAATTAATTCTTCAAACCTCAAAAGAGATGGAGTTAAGGCCGACATGTTGTCAATAAAGATGGTAACCCAACCTATGTGATTGGAGATCCCATGAAATAGGTTCATATGGGTAATAACAAGTCGATATTGGCACTGAAGTACTAAAAGAGAGTACTTAACTGCTACTAATTGAGAGGCTGAGTTATAACTCTTAATGAATTCATAGTCCTTATGGATGGTGTACTTAAAAGCAGTATACACTTGATGGATTCACCTATATGAGAGTGGAGTGGGCCGCTCCTATGAAATTTTGGCCTAGTCTCTAGAGCTCTCGTGAATAACCAGGCACGCGCATGGCCTATTGAGCGCAAAACCGCGTTGAACAGCAAAATTACCGGGGGTCGAAATGTGATTGATAAAATTTTCGAAATGTGATTGATAAAATCTCTGACTTACAATAGGAATTATTGGTTCATAGAAATATTATCTTTCACCCGTAATTCTGTGAGTTAAACTTTATTGATCTAAGTTTGGTTCATATTCCAAAAGACACCAAACCTATTGCATTTGGACCATACAAATCCAGCAAATCTTATTCTTCTTTGTATTGAATTTTTTGAAAATATGTGGGGGAACTGTTGTAATATTTTCCAAAAAATGGACAAGTGTTTAACCATGTGGCAACTTGCATGGAAAGTTATAAACAAGTGTCAAGTGTTCAACCATGTGGCAAATTGCATGCAAAGTTATAAACAAGTGTCATACACTTGGCATGACCTAAGCCCCTCAATTAGCCTAT